TGTGAGATATGCTGAGTGATATGAGGCCGAGGGCCTGAGATACTTTATATGCCACGAGGTGGCTTGAGTGACGTGAGGAGGCTTTCAAGCCTTGTGAGTGATGTGAGGAGGCTTTCAGGCCTTGTGAGTAATGTGAGGAGGCTTTCAGGCCTTGTGAGTGATGTGAGGAGGCTTTCAGGCCTTTTGAGCGATGTGAGGAGGCTTTCAGGCCTTTTGAGCGATGTGAGAAGGCTTTCAGGCCTTATTTTATATGCCACGAGGTGGCTTGATATTGCGCTTGGGCCGTAAGGGGCCCCTCCCGGAGTCTGCACACCCCCAGTAAGCGCCGTCGACGATAAATGGATCGGGCTGCACGCCGCAGCAAGATGTGGATCGGTCTGCACGCCGCAGCGGTTACTATATGATACTGTTCTGAGAGTGTTCTGAGAGTGAGCCCGATGGGCTGGTACTATTTTTGAGATATTGCCCGAGGGGCGAGTTTTTATGTGCTCATTTTGCATACTTACTTGGCTTTTTTACTGTGGTATTTGTGCCCGAGGGGCGGATTTCTGTGCATATCGGCACTAATTGCTTTGAAATTATTTCGCAACTGTTGAAAAGACTATTTTCAAAAGAGGTTTAAACTGAGCCAAGAGGTTTTTCTAAAGATTTTTTACAGTTCACTGCTTTCTCAAAGGATTGTACTCTGCTTCTATACAGCATGTTGGTTGCTTACGTGATTTCTTATTACTCAGTTGTTATTTACCTTTATTACTCATTGAGTTGGAGTACTCACTTTACTCCCTGCACCTCGTGTGCAGATGCAGGTATTTATTCACCCGGTAGCGGGTTTTGGCTGATTGAAGGTAGAGCTATAGGAGTTTGGCAAGGTAACTGCCAGCGTTCGCAGCGCCGCTTCTCTCCCTTTTGTTCATTATTCCTGTTTCGAGTATTTATTTTTAGGCCTTGTAGAACTATATTCACACTCTAATAGATGCTCGTGACTTGTGACACCCCGATTAGGGCCGTATTGGGTTGTACTTCAGCTAATTAATATCATCAAATCATATTTGAGCTGTTATTGAACTGTTTGGCTGCTTAAAAGTGGTGTTCTGAAATGGTCTGGCTGGCCTTGTCTTCACGAGAGGCGCCATCACGACCGGAGCGGGGTTTGGGCCGTGACAGGGTGTTTGTTATTTGGGCCAATTTCATGGTTAATTGTTGAATTAGTGGTTGCAAACAATAGTTTGTGTTGAGTTGACTTAAGCTTTTCTTGAGAAAGAGAGCCTAAGTCTCCGAAATTTGGTCCAACAAGGAATTGGGGCGTACTCAAGAGATTGATTACCCCAATTAAAGGGTTAAACCTTGAGAGAGTGATACCCGACTTGAACCCTAGTTGTTTGTGCAAATTTGCATACCCAATTGGTCTTGAGAAAGTCAATTCGGGAAAAATCACTCAAACCACCGAGAGGTGTAGAGTGGGTAAAGTCGTGCAACGGTTGTATCATACTCCCCAAATATGTCAAACGTGCCCTAGACTCAAGCATTCGTCAATTGACCACCTAGGCGGAAGTCAATACCCTAGTGTCTTTTAAACCATTTGAACAACCCGCAGCATTATAATTCTTAGCTTAATTTAGTTGCATTTACCATTTGTAGTTTGATAAATAGTAGAAGTAAAATAAAACCCCCAAAAATGTTTAGAAGTGTAATTTGGAACACATACGCAACTCTACACTAGATAGATACTCGATTCAAACTTCTAGCTCTCTGTGGATATCGATCCCGACCCTAAATCAGGTAAAAGCTGCTCCGACCCTCTTTCGCTACTTAATTAGTAGTGCGGAGTAGGCCGCGATCAATAGTAAACTTGAATAAGTGACAAAATTGAACTACAACACTATTTAACTATATATATATATATATATATATATATATATATATATATATATATATATATATATTGGACATGATTTATCATTAATTGAGTTATTGTTCACGTACCTTCACACTCATTTGCATCATCATCATCTTCACCTTCTAGGTTTTGTTGACCTGTTATGCATGAAATAAATATATAATTTACTTTCATGAACGTGTGTCTATATGGATGTCACTATAGAAATTTTACAACAATAGTACAATTCTGTAATGAGTCTATAGCGATATGAGAAATTCAAATTTTACCTTCATCACCTAGAGCACCATTTATATCAGGGACTTTAACTTCACTTTGAATACATATAATGACTTTGTTTATTATAAAAGGAGTAATTAATAACTCAAAGTAGTAGGAAACAATTTAATAATATCCTAACGTTTCTTTAATTTAGTTATGATTTCTTATCTGGAGATAGTTGAGCAACTCACCAAAACAACTTGAATGATTTTGTGGAGTAATATTACCGGAACTTAAAATTTCAGTTTGCATATTGACACGACTTGAATCAGTATGGTCGTTCACCAATATCCCTTTCCCCGTCTTTTGCTTTGTATTGGAAGACAAACAACTTTTAAACTCTGCCATTACCAAAATAAAATTTTCAAATTACATTAAAGTTCAAAAATTCCAAATAAATGTAGATAACTATTACATAGACATGAAACAAAGACTTACCATTGTTCAATCTCGGAGTGGAAGGGACTTTGGATCATATGCAAAAGATTTTGACGAAGAAACCTGTCGACAACTAATGATGGAGATTTTAACTGGTGGCGTGCAATTCTGATATGATGGAGTTGGCGCAACACAATGTCCATTTGTTTTATCTCCATTTGGGGCATGCATTCCAGCCATTCTATTTATACTAAATCTAGAGTTATCCATATTCTCATTCACCAATATGCCTTTCCCTTTGTTCTGCTTTGTATTTGAAGACAAACAACTTTCAAATGCTGCCAATCATAAAGTTAAATTTTTAAATATTTAAAGCTTCTATATAAATATAGATAACCATTACATACAAATTAATAATTAGGACACCAGAAAAGACTAACCATTATTCAAATTTGCTTGTGGAAGAGACTTTGGATTATATGCAAGAGGCTTGGATTTCAAAATCTGTCTGCAGCTCATTATGGAGTAGATAATTGATAGTGTGCAATTTTGATATGATGGAGTTGACACAATATGTCCATTTATTTTTTCACCATCTGCAGTATGCATCCCAAATATTCTAATTGTACTCAATTCAGATTTATCTGTATTCTCATTCACTAATATGTTTTTTCCTTTGTTCTACTTTTTATTTGAAGACAAACAACTTTCAAACGCTGCCATTCGCAAAATAAAAATTCAAATATTTAAACATTCTAGATAAATATAGATAACTATTACATATAAGTTAAGAAATAGATCATAGAAGACTAATCATTTCTCAAATCTCGTAGTGGAAGGGACTTTGGATTATCTTGAAAAGGTTTGGTGGAAAAAACCTGTCCACAACTTTTTATAGGGATGCCAACTGGTGGTGTACAATTCTGATATGATGGAGTTGGCACAACAACATGTCTATTTCTTTTATCGCCATCTAAAGCATACATTCCAGCCATTCTAATTGTACTCAATCGAGATTCACCTGAATTCTTTTCAGATGTGCCATGACATATATTTGTGTTAATTACATATTTGTTCTCATCACATTCCTTTGTTTCCTCATTTCATTGACATTATCTTTTAGAAAGCACCTCTTGCGTCTCGACTGGGAACTGTTCATGAATATTTTCAATTAAGATAAGCTTGATATATATGAAAATATTTAGTAAAAATTAACACCCTTAGATTTATAGGAACTGACCATTTGTTATATCACACAAAGGAGGAAATCTGTTTTCTTTTTCGTTAGCATTCCCTCTGCGATTTGTGAGATCAACATTCTCTGTAGAACACGTGAAATTTTGAAAATGAGTTACAGAAATAATATGAAATAATTAAACATAGAGTCTATCAAAAGATATAAAGTTTCATGATCATTTTATACTTTGCTGGACCGAAAAAATTTCTCGATCGAAATAAGCCGCTAACAAAGAAATTGGATCATAGAACACTTAAACCATCTTTTTCTGAATTCATAATTTTTATATTGTAGAAGGCAATACACCAAAGTGAGAATTTATTACTAATAATATGTCAATTCTCTGTACCTGAAAAGATTTTTTCTTTATTTCTAGTAGAATATTTCGTGTTATAAGAGGTTTGGAGGAAAAAGAAGTTTTGAATTTGAAGCAACTAATTTAGGGTTTATATCTGACATCGATTAATTCATAACACGGAAAAGGTTAAATACATCAAAGCTAAGCGTGGAAATATAAGTTTTTACCATTGCATTCCGAGAAATGTTTAGTCCGCTTCTGGTTTCGTATGCATATTCTGTTTATTCTTGTGAGTTTCTTCTAATCTTCCATGTCCAAGTAGCCTCTAAAATGAATTTCTGCTGAGAATTGAGAATTTTTTAAGTAGAGAGAGAGAGAGCGCGCGAAGAAGAATTGGGAATTTTTATAACGGAGAGAGCGTGAAGAAGGTTTATAACTAATTCAGCTTTTAATTATTTTGATAAATTTGTGTGATTTTTATATATGTTTAAATGTAGAAAAGAAAAGTACTTATTTGGAGAATATAACATAAAATATATTGTACTACATTTATAATTGGGTATAGGTGGAATTGGCTTCCTATAACTTTTTGGTATATATCTTCATAGATATGAAACGGCATTGGCATTGATATTATCATAGGAATTTGTAGTAATTAAGAATGAAATGGTCATACGATATTAATGCAATATTTCAAAAATATGCAGTTGCACTTCTAACATAAATAAAGTTCATATCACATAGAGTCAACTAATTTCAAATACTAAATCATGATCCTAAATGGTAGAAGCCAAATTAAAATACAAACAAAACTACTTCAAATTGTAGCAAAGTACTTGCTAATGCAATTGGACGAATAATTTGATTAGGTAAAAGGGAGTAAATGTTTCAATTTATGGATTTTTCTCCTGTTTGATCACTATTTTAACCTTGTTACTTGAAAATTGTGCAAGATCATCACCAACATCTACTACGGATGACCCATCCTCTTCTCTACTTCTTTTGGCAGGGGTCTTTGCAGGAGAAGTCATCTCATTATCAGCCATTGAATCCTACAAAGGAAAAATAAATTATTAAAACCATATTGTATATAAGAAGCTATACAGGCAATGTCTGAATTAGTTACCTTGAAAGTTGTGTCCTTTTCGGTGTGTTGTTCACACTCAAAATCAGGGTCCTATTAAAAAAATAATAACATAATTAATTTAAACTTGATAATCCCATATATAAATTCAAAAGGAAAATTGGTGTATTATGAAGTATTTGAGTAACGATCACATACAGTGAATGTATCATCTTGTGGAGATTGACTATATTGTTGTATAAGGTTATCGTCCTCGTTGATCTTAACAACATTATAAACTTCTGCATGCACCTTAATGTTGAAGCTCTTAACAGTCACTTTAAACAGGATTTTTTTGTCAAGAATATCATACAACTCCACTGGATAAGAACACTCATCAACAGCACCAAAAATCTAAGACCGGATTAGTGTTAGAAGTTCTAAAACACAAAAACTAAAAATAAAAAGTACAACTACTAAACCATCCCTTAAATCGTTAGCCTGCTTTTCATTCTGGTAGGAATGGAATCAAAAAAAAAAATAGAGCTCTTTCTTTTGAGTGATATAACAAATGGTCAGTTCTAATAAATTTAAGGGTGTTTTGATGTCTAGAATTTTTACTATAATTTTGCAAATATACCATATTTACCCTTTTACGTTTATTGAAAAATATACTAACAATTAAATAAAAAAAAACATACCTCAATTGAACTTTCATTTAACTCATTAGCAGACTTGCCAATGAGGTTTGTTGCTTCACGATCCCAAAGCAACAAAGATGTAAAACCAGTGCGATCCATTACTTGCACTTGAAGCTTGTACCTGAAAGACACGTTTAGAATAATAAATTGAAAATTTAGTTTTGTTTAATTTTTTTAAGTAAATAGAGAAGCTTATCGGTCGCATTTCTTGCAGTGAAATTTACGCCCAATTTTATCAACCTTCTTCGAGTCTCTTGCACCGCAAATATGACAATTCTTTTTCAAGTAGCAGTTGCAACAATCCAAATGTGTTCTTCCTAAAAAGAAGCAAAGTTGTAGCAATGTATCTAGCAAATTTGATTGTCCTAGATGTGGAGAAGCATGAGTTCTATTTTAATGTCGTCCTAGATGAACATGTTACAAATGATGTGGTATTATTTCATCTAACAAATGAAAATACTAATCACAAAGACAACTGATTTATGTGTTTTTTCAAAGATTATGTCAAAAATTATTTGAACTACCTTTATTTTTACTTTTCAAGGAGTGGTATTTTATCATCGCTTTCCTCTACTATCTCATACTTCTGTTCTTTCATATGTAAAGCATTTCCAGCTTAATGTGTTGGTTTCCAGTTTCCTATCATGGTTGTGCCTTAAGTAATATTTTACAGGTTTATCGAGCTACTGTGCAACCAATTATTCCAACCATCTTTCAGCGCACAAAAGCAACATGTTTTGCTTATGGCCAGACAGGTCTGTCTATATTCCTTCACATTTTCTCAGTTTTTAATATGCACTCATATTTTTCTGATAGTTAATATAGGGTGCTGAATTATCCCCGCCTCTAGATTTTTGCTGCTCGTTTTGTTCTATAATGTTTCTGTGTTTGCTTATAAGTTTGGGAGAATTTGTAGAAGGGGAATAAGCTTGGCAGAGGAGATCTTAAAAAAGTGCATTGAGATTTTCCTACTTCCAGTTATGTTGTGATCTCATTCATATAATCTTGTTTGTCTGGCCCATATTAGGGTTGTGCACGAATCGGATCGGATTTAGCACATTTCGGATTCGGATTTCAAATTTCGGATTCTAGAAAATGCAATCCGAATCCGAATTATATCGGGTCGGATCGGATTGAATTTTAAAGCTTGGATCGGATCGAATTTCGGATCGTATTATTATGCCTCAAAGTTGCAAATTAATATGTATATTTCTTTGTAAAAGAGGCAATACATTAAGAAAAATTCATGTTTATGCAATTATGAGAGTACTATGGTTCCACTATAGCTAAAGCCAACAATTGTAAAGGTAATAGCTTGGAGGAAGATGTAAAGGAAGTACTGACTATCCGAAATTAAAGTGTAGTATTTATACATGCCATAATAATTTCGAATTTCGGATCGAATCGGATTAAAATATACCAATCAGAACTCGATCCAAAATCCGAAATTTTAATAAACACAATCCGAAATTAGATCCAATCCAAAATACAAAATCTGAAATTGAATAGAGTGGTTCGAATTTCGGATATCCGATCTGAATGAACAGCCCTAGACCATATGACTAAACTGCAAGATATACTTTGTCACGACCCAAACCCCGCTCCGGTCGTGATGGCGCCTCTCGTGAAGACAAGGCCAGCCAGACCATTTCAGAACACCACTTTTAAGCAGTTAATCAGTTAAATAACAGCTCGAATATGATTTAATAATATTAATTAACGTAATTACAACCCAACACAGCCCGACCAGGGTGTCACAAGTCACGAGCATCTATAAGAATGAAATTTCCACTTTACAGTCTAGAAATACACTGAACAAGAATAATGAATAACATAGAAAGACAGTGGTACTGCGAACGTTGGCAGTCACCTCGCTAAAACCTCTACAACTCTACCTCCACGCAGCCAATACCCGCTACCGGGTGATTAAATACCTGCAACTGCACGCGAGGTGCAGGGAGTAAAGTGAGTACTCCAACTCAGTGAGTAATAAAGGTAAATAATAACTGAGCAGCAAGAAATCACGTAAAGCAACCAACATGCTATATAGAAGCCGGGTACAATTTTCTGAGAAAACAGTGTAATCTGTGAAATCTTTAGAAATACCTTGGCTCAGTTCAAATCTCTTTTGAAAATGATCTTTTCAATAATTACGAAAACGATTTCAAAACAGTTAGTTCTGATAAGCACAGAAAAGTCTGCCCCTCAGGCACAAATACCACAGTATAACAGGTAATAGGCAAATAAATATGCAAGATGAGCACATAAAAGTCCGCCCCTCGAGCAATCCCTCAAAAACAATACCAGCCCCTTGGGCTCACTCTCAACAACACTCTCAGAACAGTATCACATAGTAGTCGCTGCGGCGTGCAGCCCGATCCACATATCGCTGCGGCGTGCAACCCGATCCATAGCTCGCTGCAGCGTGCAGCTGGGTACCCGCGCTCACTGTGGGGGTGCAGACTCCGGAGGGGCTCCTACAGCCCAAGCGCTATATCGCTGCGGCGTGCAGTCCGATCCAATATATACATACTGCTGCGGCGTGCAGCCCGATCCATATATAATCCTCACATCCAGGCCCTCGGCCTCACATCACTCAGTGTATCCTCACATCTGGCCCTCGGCCACACTCAGTCAGAATATCATCACAAGCCCCTCGGGCATTAGTAAAACAGTAGTCCTCAGCCCAAATTATCATTTAAAACATCATATAAGACTCAAATCTGAGTAAAAGTGGCTGAGTTGTAAAATAGTGGAGAAACAATATGACTGAGTTCAAGTAATAAGTCAAAACACTGAGGAAGCAGTGAAAATAATCCTCGAAGGGTTCAAATAATTGGCACGAAGCCCAAATATGGCAATCAGCCCAAATCATGATAATAACAAATATGTTCCAGTCAAATACGCGGTAAAAATCATTAATCGGAACGAACCAAGTCACAATCCCCAACGGTGCTCTACCCCACGCTCGCTATCCGGCGTGTAAGTCACCTCAATATAGCACTATGGTGCGCAAATCCGGGCTTTCAAACCCTCAGGATATCATTTACAATCATTACTCACCTCGAACCGGTGAAATCTCTAGCTCGCGACGCCCTTGCCCATCAAATCGGCCTCCACACACGTCGAATCTATCCAAAATCAGAGCGAATACATCACAATAGGCTAAGGGAACATAACCCAATCGAAAAGAATCGAAAAATATCGAATATCACGAAATTTGAAAAACCCGAGCCCCGGGCCCACTTCTCGACAAATCAGAAAATTAACATCACAGGATTCCTTATCTCGCCACGAGTTCATACATACCAAGAACTCTCAAATCCGAGCTCAAATGACCCATCAAATCCCAATTTGAAATATCAAAAACTCAAGCCCTAGTTCATCAATTTTAGGCTTAATTTCCATGAATTTCTAGGTAAATTTCACATAATAATCGTGTTTCAAGGTCATATAACTCACCTCCAATCAATCCCAGTCGAAATCACCTTCGATTCCCGTCCAATAGCTCTTAAGGTTATTCAAAAATGGTGGAAAATATCCCAAGCTCGCGGATGAAATGTTATTTAAAAAACCTTCTGCCCAGGCCTTTTTCCGCTTCTGCAATCCAGATACCGCATATGCGGTTACCGCTTATGCGGCAGTTCCTCCGCTTCTGCGGATTCTTCAAAATTCCTCAGGACCGCTTCTGTGGTCATTTCCCGCTCCTGCGGACACCGCATCTACGGGAATACGCCCGCTTCTGCGAAATTCCTCCAATTGGTCCAGTCCGCACCTGTGACCCCTTCTTAGCATCTGCAGAACCGCATCTGCGGTCCCTTTTCCGTAGATGCAGAAATACCAGATACCAGCTGACCTTTAACATGCAAAAATTCCAAAACTCTGTTTAACCATCCGATCTTACCCCGAGGCCCCCGGGACCTCGACCAAAAACACAAACATGATCCAATACCTTATTCAAACTTGCTCCAATCATCAAAACACCACGATTAACACTAAAGCCATCAAATTACATCAAATCCAAGCCTAAGTTCTTCAAATTCTTCCGAAACTCGCATTCGATCAAAAACCCAACCAAATCACCTCCGAATCACCTGAAATTTTGCACACATATCCAAAATCACCTAACGAAGCTACAGCAACTCTCGGAATCCCATTTCGACCCTCGGATCAAAATCTCACCTATCAACCGGAATTCGCCAAAATACTAACTTTGCCAGTTCAAGCCTAATTCTACACCGGACCTCCAAAATAAATTCCGATCACACTCCTAAGTCACAAATCATCCCCCCGAAGCTAACCGAATCACCAGAAATCGCATCCGAACCCTCTAACTCAATAGTCAACATTCGGTTGACTTTTCCAAAACAAGCCTTCCTTAAAGAGACTAAGTGCCTCATTTTCTACCAAAACCAATCCAAATCAACTCTAACACACCAAATACTGATAATGAAACATGAAGAAGCATAAGAATTGAGGAAACGGGGCGGTAACTCCTGAGACGACGGGTCGGGTCGTCACATCGTCCCCAACTTAAACAAACGCTCGTCCTCGAGCATACCCAAAGTTGTCCTAGAGGCCAACCAATAGCTGAATAACCTTACCAAGCATATACCCGGGGGTGATCCCACGTCACCCTATCTCGTGTAGGTCCGATAACACAACATAACTGAAATTTCACAATCCATCTAGTCCATAAACCATAGAACCACGTTGCACTTTCCGAAATCACACACAAGATCAAAACCTCACATCTATACTCAGAATAAGCCCGAACCAGCTATAATAACCCATACCTGCAACCTCAGGTGCAATCATATGATATACTACATAACAAAATACTCGAAACGATAACTTCTATCCATAGCAGTTGCCCACAACACCCGAATACTGGTAGGAAACCTCTTATCAACTGAGGTCTTATTCCAACACTTTCATATGCTGCCAACGATAAATGAAACACGCAATAAACTGTAACCATTCCTCAGATCAGCCATTCACGAAGCCACTTCCCCTTTTGACTAATACATCAACAGGTTCTGAGCCGAACCTCGATATTATCCTCCCAACAAGTTGAAATCAAATCCGTTCGTATTCATTAATAACCCCAACGATCACCTC